TCAGTGGTTAGAGCCTGTGCCCATGAACCGAAGCCTTGGGGGTTCGATTCTCGGTCAAGGGATGATCAAGGCAACCAATCGATGTGACATCGATGTTTCTCTCCCTCTCTCCTTCCCTCCCCTCCTCCCTCCCACTCTCTCTAAAAAAAAATCAAGGGAAAAAATGTCCTCAAGTGAGGACTAACAACCAAAAATGTGGACTAGTACATCTAAAACAAGGCATTGAAGCTCCGTTATTTTGCAGAATATTATTTGACACATATTTACTGAGCACCTCAGCTGATCCAAGCATAGTGAGAGACATCAAGGATCACAGCAGAGCCCAGCCGGGCGTGGCTCAGCGGTTGAGCGTCGACCTAGGATCCAGGCGATCAGGGTTCGATTCCCCGGTCAGGGCACATGCCCGGGTTGCGGGCTGCAGCCGATCAATGACTCTCATCATTGATGTTTCTGTCTCTCTCTCTCCCTCTCCCTTCCTCTCTCTGAAATCAATAAAGATACATTTAAAAAAAAAAAATCACAGCAGAGAACAGGGCAGCGGTCCTCCTGCCCTCAGGTGGCAGCCACCCTAAAGCAAGCTGGCATTCAAGTTCCAAGACTTGAACTGTAAAATATGATAGTAACTATGACATTAGAATAACAGGTAAGAGTGGCTATAATTATTCTCATTTTGTAGATTAGGACAAGGTGAACTGACTTGGCCAGAGTGGAACTAGTAACAGGGTAGATTCTAACTGAGATCTGGCTTAAAATCTGTAAAAAACAGGTTTTTTCTCATATAAAATGAACATACTTACCTTACAGTATTATTGTGTGGGGAGAGGTAGTAAAATGCCTGGCATACACACAGTAGCTCCTCAATAAATTCTAGTTTACAGTTACAGTAAAATGACTCATAAACTCGAGTGTATACCCTGTATTTTTCATCTCCTTTGACGTGGAGCACCCCTCTTAATGACAAACCTTTTTAAACATTCTCCGCACGTCACTGTGTTCTTGCAGGATGTGAGCTACATTTTCCCATAATGTGACTTTAACTTCCCAAAAGGACTGAATTCTACTCGGAAGTCATCAAGCAAGTGCAGGAGCCAAAGAGATGTTTGTGAAGACAATGGTTAACTGTGTTTCACCAGATATTTTAAGGATTCCTCTTAACCTTTCTGACATAGGCACAGGAATCCCCAATTTTATGAACAGGGAAACTAGGCTCAGAGAGGTTAAGTAACTTCCCCACAGCCACACAGCGTGCGAGTGGCGGAGCCGCGGCTTCGACAAGCTGTTGAAACCCACAGTTATTTTGTTGAGCAGTATTGCTGCCTGCGTGTGTGACACACACATAACCCTCCAGGATCTGCGACATCTTCTTCCTCAGAAATCAGAGAATGTCTTGACACTTGTCTTTCTCTTTTCCCTTGGGAATGAGAAAATAATTAATAACCAATCGGCTGTTGTTTGCTTTACTGGGTGCTGGCCAAGGTGAACAGCACTGTGTCATATGCTCTAGAGAGACTAAAACAGAAGATAATGTCCTGAATTTCAAGGGGTTTTTGTCTGATTAGTCAGAGAAGCCAAGACACCTGTAATAGACATGACCTGAATTTAGGAGAGCCCGATTCCTGTAGTTTCTAATAACATTAACGATGACATTTTAGAGCCTTTACCCCAGGGACTTTCAATGCTTTGTCATCTCAGAAAAATCCTGCCGGGCAGGGACTGCGGTCGTCACCACTCTGAGACGAGGGACGTGGGGCTTGCGGGAAGTTACTCCTGGTTTGTCAGGCTGCTGGGTGGCTGAGCTGGAATGTGAACCCACCAGCATTTCTTTGCTAGTCTTCCTTTGGCTTTATCCAATTATCTAGTTTCCTGAGTGAAAATTGCAATATTAAGTTGAACGCAAGGTACAGTAACTGAGACACCGAAGTTGCCCCTCTCGTGTACAGTTTGCAAAAACCAAGGCACGGGACGCAGTGAAGCTACAAAGTAACGTTGAGCACTTAGCCCTGTGTGGACCTTCCCGCAGCAGCCCCGTGGAATGGGCCACTGTCGTTACAACTATTTCCATGAACCTTGAGCTTTCCTGGGAGGTCGGTTCCAACACCGTCCATCGGGCAGATGTGGAGAGTAAGTCTCCAAGTTTCCACAATCAGAAAGCAGGTCTAGGACTCATGCCCGCGTTTAGCCAAAGCTTCGAAGCACGAAACGATACTACTATTTGAGACCTTTGAGAGAGTTTTGTGTTTTTCAGCACAGAGAAACCAGACGTCCTTCGAAGGACTTCTCCACCCGCCCTCATCACAGGTAAACACAGACACGCTTTGTCACCGGTGGTGATGTGGGGTGAGGCTGGGGTATAATTACCCACTCAGGACTTGGTGAGATTTCCCAGAACCAAGCAGGGCCTGGGCCGTCCCGGTAATGATGGTGGGCACTCTGAGCACTTCAGAGTCTCACCAGTAATTCCCAGCAGGATCCCTGACCTGATGACTCAGAAACTAAGTAATGAGCAAGGAAGAGAGAGGCCTGGGCCTGGGCTCCAGGCCATCATTTTGAATTTAGCTGCACGGAGTCAAGGCTGAGTGTGTGTTAATGGCACCAAAGTTTCAAAGGACTGGTCGGTCTTTCTTGCCTCTGCAACCCAGTGTGACAATCAGAGGGGGCTTTCTCCGCCGGACATGTGAAAGCAGTTTCCCTGAAACAGGAATTTTCATGCTGGCTACTAATAAGCCTAATGATGGCTTGCCCTTCCAAGTGTCTGCTTGGCGTTTATAAAGCAACGGAGTGCTCAGCTCACATGAAAACCCAACAAGTCTGAAAATATTTATCTTTCTTCCTGAGCATACCTACAGAGAGAGAGAGAAAAGAAAGAACAAAGGAGGCGGGTGGTGACTCAATAGCGGGCACAACTAGAGGAGTTATGATTTATTGAGCATTTGTTACGTGCCAACGGCCGTGCCAGAAGCAAGGCGCAGTGGCAAGCTAAATAGATCTTCTGTTTGGGGTTATTCATTTATTTATTTCTTTTACCACCATTAGCACATAAAACAGCATTTTCGTCTCAGAGCCCCACACATACTGACCTCCCCCCCCCGACCCCCAAGGGGGAGATATTCCCACTTAAGGACTATTTCCAATATTCTGAGCTATCCCTGTTTCAAGAAAAGGTGATAGGTGATGTAACATAGCGTGATGTACACGGATGTGTATAGTAAGGGCCTAGGTTAGGATTAGAAAATCTGGGTCCGAATTCATCATGAGCCAGTAGTAAGGTCTGCGACACTGAGCTTCAGTTTTATTTATTCATTTATGTTTCTGGCGTTGGGCTGAACTAAATGGAAAAATTTAGGTAAAATGTCTTCCTTAGTGGCTGGTTTATCATAAACCCGAGGAAGCTTTCATTTGTATACTATGTAGCATGTGTTATACACAATAGAGTGCATATTGCATATGCTGGGGTGGGCAAGAGTAGGTTTACCGTTCATATGGAAAATAGTACAACAATTAATAATACAAGAATAAACACATCTATAAACCTACTTTTGCCCCCTCCTGTAGTGCATAATCTTTAGTGTACGCTATATAACATGTTCTATATAGTGTGTGTACATATAAATAGGTATCTATACATTATATCTAAATTGTATTCGTACATAATATAAGCTATTATTTTATTAACATTAACAGTCATTCACCCCTCAGGACAAATCTGAAATGACAGTGTTCAAGCTCAAGTTGGACTGCAACAGGATTCCAAGCAACAGACTGAAGGCTGACAATAAACTTACCAGGGAAGGATTTGCCAGCACTGGGCTCAAAAGCCCCAGCCAGGGGACTGAAAATGGGGGGGAAGAAACAGTGTCCCTGTGCTCCTCCCTGGGGGCGGCAGCACTTGTGCTGGACAGCAACGAAAGCATAGGAGCCACTCTCAAATAATCAACAAAAATCTCCACTTCTCTTCTTGAATTAGTAAAGCAAGTTCTACTCTTGCCAACCAGGATGACTCCAGAAAGAGAGAGAGAGAGAGTGTGCGCGCGTGTGTGTGTTCCCGCGCCCCCATGCTTGCCCAGCTTGGACTTTGCAGGGATGGGCTGTGGTGCCAGGCGGCAGGTGCCTCTCCTTTGCGCGAGGTGTCCCCAGAAGGGAGGGGAAAGAGGCAGCGCAGCCTTAACTGCAAGCCTCGCTGTCAGGACGCATTTCCCACCTGTCCAAGGAGGTAACAACTATGTGGGGGGCTGGCCATGGCCCACGTCGCAGGCGCTTTGCTGCGCTGATTCATGAAATCTTCGTGACAACCAGAATGGCACGGCCAGGGCGGAACTTCTGAAAACTCAGAACTGCCCAAGCCCCAAAGGTGAGGTCTCCTCTTTAGCGGCCGAGTCTCAGCCCCTCCCGACCTCGGGAGGCTCCGAAAGCCACCTCGCTGGGACAGAGTTCCGTCCCAGTCCGTCTGAAGTGGCTCCGGGGCGCGCGGCTCTCGGCCCCGCGGGCGCCCGCAGCCTTCCCGCCGCCCGCGGAGANGGGCCGGGCAAGCCAGGACCCACTCCGCCCCACTCAGCGTGCTCATTGGCCACCCGGGGCCTGCCCTGTCTCCATAAATACTTGGTCCGCCCGCAGGGATCATGGAGAGAGGGCCAGGAGGAAACCGGAGAGCCCGCGGCGCCTCTTCTACCCTCCTTGACATCTCCACTTCGCCGCTGCAGCCTGGGAGTCAGACTTGCAGACCTCCGGGCAGACCAGCATCCCTTCCCTTCGTCTTCCAAGAGGCACCGTCCGCTGGCTGCCCTCCTCCAGCCCCTGGGGCCAGGGCTCCGTGGGCCCCCGCGCCCCGAGGCTGCCGCGCAGTGCCGCGTGGAGCATCCTCGCCGAGGTCCTTTCTGCCCCTCTGCCGCCCCCTCCAGCTGGTCCGGCTGGTCCTCTTTGCCACTCTTTCCCGAATCACGCCCCTAACCCAGCCCGCACCACTTTAGCAGCCTCGTGCCCTGCGCCCGGTGCCCCCCGCGGCGATGAGTTCCCCCATCAGCACGGGCCGCTCCCTGGTCGCCTTCCTGCGGCAGCTGCGGGGCCTCAGGCAGCCCCCGCGACCCGTGACATCCGCGGCGTGCGCGCCCTCTCGGCCGCGGGAAGTGCCCCTCTGCCCTCTGATGGAACGTGGCGAGGCGCAGAGCGCAGCCTCCCTGCCGGGCCCCACGAACTGGCCACTGCTGGGCAGCCTGCTGGAGATTCTCTGGAAAGGGGGGCTCAAGAAACAGCACGACACACTGGTAAATGCCTCGTCGCGCCCCAATTCCCTCTCTCTTCCCCGCCCCGCTCCCCAAACCCTCCCCGAGGCGCGCGGCCCGGGCGCACAGTGCGCTCAGGTGTCCCCGGGGCGGCGGCCCCCCAGAG